CTGAGTTTTGCGAGGCCCGAAGGCCTCTAGGAACAAACGCCCATGGAGAGGTCCCAAGACTTCAGGGTACACCCGCCGGTCCTTAACTTTGTGTTTAAAATGATGCGGGTTAGAGCCCGAGGGGCGGGGAAGGACCTGTCTCTCCCACCAACCTGAGAGGGACCGGGTTGTTTGTAAGACACCGCCCGGTCCTCGACTTTAGCCAATGAGAACCCGAGGGCCAAGCAGAGTTTTTTTAGCCAACGAAGAGTCGGGAGGAGCCCCTCCAGCGTCCACCCCCTCCATAGGTTTAGCCAATAACGAACCAGGACTAGGCCAGGTTCCCGCCTCTTTCTCGGATTCCACCCAATGACAGCCCGGGGGCGAGACAAAGAAAGACTTCCGGTCCGCCCTCTTGCACGGGAAGGTCCCCGTAAAGAATTATTTCCGGAACCCGGGTACGCGGGGAGGTTTTGTCCGGGCTCGGACCTCCGCTCCTGCTGGCTGCCCCAGGATGAGCTTTCTGGCGGCGCGTGGAGGCCGCGAGGAGTTTGATGTGAAAACGGCGAGCGCGGGGGAACTGCGCTTGGAAGGCTCGCCTGCCTCCACGCACAGGGAGCCCGGAAGCGCCCTCCGCGCGGGAGCTCGGGGCGGAATGCGGGCGTCGGCCCTTCATTTCTCGGACAGTTACTCCTCGCCTGCTGTGCCGGGCACCACTCAAACCCAACAGAAGCATTAAGTGAGCGGCTGTGTGAGAGACCCTGAAGCGAGGGACAGGGACCATTCTAGGAAGTGACGGAAGACAAAACTATCTGGAGCAAAGTGAGGGGAGACGAAGAGTCGGAGGTCGACATAGGTCAGACAGATCCTAAAAACGATGTACCTAACGGGTTGGCTTTCTCTGAGTGCGATGGAAAGCCCTTGAAGGCTTTTGTGCAGGGAGTGCCGGATCTGATCTATGCGTTTAAAAGACTCTATGGCTGTTGTGTAGAGAGTAGACCAAAGAGGGCAAAAGTGGACTGAGATGAAAGCAGCTGACAGGCTGCGTAATCTAGGCAAGAGATGCTGCCCCGGCCGGGGAAGTGGCAGTGAGGATGGAAAGAAGAGACTGGATTTGAGAATATTAGGAGATAAAAATCAGTAAGAGCAAGGGACCCCTTGGATATGGGTACCCCAAGTTGCTGAAATGATTTTTTAAAATTGAAGTGCAGACAATTACTATGTGTCAATTTCTGGTGTACAGCACAATGTCCCAGTCTTTCATATACATACCACCATGTATTCGTTTTCATATTTTTTCCATTAAAGGTTACAAGATACTGAATATAGTTCCCTGTGCTATACAACAGAAACTTAAAAAGTATATTATTATATATAATATGTGGCTAGCATTTGTAAATCTCAAACTCCCTAACTTACCCTCTCCCACCCCCTTTCCCCGGTAACAGTAAGATTGTTTACTAAGTGTGCAAGTCTGTGTTTTGTAGATGAGTTTATAATGTCCTTTTTGGGGTGAGGGGGAGAAATGATTTCTGAATCAAAAGACTACCTCATTGTTCTAGATGGATTTCAGAAGGTCAAATAAATGGCTGCAAAGACCACAAAGTCCCTTTTCAAAAGAAAAATTTGTAATTCAAGTGTGAGCTATATGTCACTGGCTGGGAGCCCTGGAACTCTGAAAGGAAGGCCCCTCCGAGAGCACAGTGAGGAGTCAATCAGCAGCACATGGTGGACAGAAGCTGCGTGTTTCAGTGGGAGGCTGGACCTGAGGGCTTAGCAGCCCCGACCTGCCTTTTCCAGCAGGAACTTGCATCTTCTACCACCACAGAAGATTCTGTGCAGTGAGGCCAGGGTGATTCTCCAGAATTTTCCATGCCTTGAGATGAAGTATCCTTTTACACTCCTGTCCTTTGCTCTCATTCCACGCTCACCAAGCAGTATTCTGCATTGATTTGATTTTCCAGAAAGGAGAATCTGAATAACGGATGTATATTTTCATTCCCCTGTGAGTGTATCAGCCCCCTGTGAGTTTGGTACACATGAGTCAATCCTGAAGACTGTCACTATCAGTAGAGTTGACTGATAAAATAGTGTATACACAATTAAGTTAGAATTTCACATAATATTGGGGACATACTTTTAAAAATTAAATACTGGGGACAGACAGTAATCATTTATTCATTATCTGAAATTCCAGTTTAGCTAGGGGTATTTTTATTTGCTAAATATGGCACCCCTTCCTCTGAGTATTGAAGGAATTCAGTTTCTGAATCTGCAAAGCTGGTTGCAAACTACCCAGAACCTTAGGGAATCCACTGAGATCCTGACCACCCTGTACCCCCCACCCCAATTCAGTGACCCTCTAGTTTTGTCTGCTCTGATCTGCTCTCTATGGAAGCAAGAGTGATCTCTCTGGGAGGAGCTGGCTCTGGCCCTGTCTCCAGGGACCCCTCTCCCCACCAATTCCCCATTTCACCACCTGACTGACTCCTCTGCATCCTTTAGTGTCCAGCTTAGAGTTCATCTTGCCTGGAGAGGTCGGCGTCATCCTCTGTGCCCATGGCACCCAAACTCATCCTGCTACAGAGCCTGCAGCGCAGTTTTCATTTCTTATTTCTCCTCCTCCAGGAGTAGCAGCTTCCTGAGGGCAGAAACCAATCTGTGTGGTTCACCACTGTCTTCCCAGGCCTTGGCACAGAGCAGATACTCGGGAAATGTTTATTCAATGCGTGGATGAGGCTACTTGACTCATTTGAACCTTCAGTTCAGTGCAGCCTCTAGATCAGGGCACGGTCACGAGGACAACAAATTGAGGCTCCTCAGATAGGGGCGTATCCCGGGAGTGCACAGAAACTGAGGAGGGGGCTAGAAGGGGGAGGGAGGAGGCAGGGATGGGGAGGTGAGGCAAGGCTGGGAAGGAGAGGGAGGCCAGGGAGGCTCAGGACCCCAGTTAAAGAAACAGCCGTGACTTCCTGAAACACCCCAGCTTCTGGAGCAGATAACAATGACACAATGTTTGCACATGGAGGGGCGCTTTCCCTGCCTGTTTCAGGGTCTGAATATTGAATCCTGGCTGAGGAGCCCGTTCTCTGGGGCAGAGCACGGGCAGGGGTGGGGAGGATGTACCTGGGATGGGTGTTTATTGATCCTCTATTAACGAGGGCAAGGAGGGCCTTGGAAAATACTTCCTTTGGGCCCCAGAATCTGAATATTCCTTCCTGAGCCGCTGGGTCAGTCTATGAAGCACGCAGTGAGTGGTTAGTACTCCCCAGCGGGGACTAGATTCTCACTGCACCCTTAGGACGGGAGAGGAGGCGTAGTGCTCACTTTCGGCCACGAGATGGCGACGGAGCGTCCCCGTCGGCAAACACTGCCACCTGCTGGTCACCCACGCTCATGACTCCCTGGAAGAAAGGGCGAAGTTGCCTCATAGGAAGAGAAACCCACTTAGGCGCAGGGAACAGAGCCTCCTAACACCCCTGTGCTGGGCGGAGGGTCAGCAGCCTGCTCCCTCTCAGGTCCGACCGCGGAGAGGCGTGGCCACCCATCTCCCCGGCTTCACACGTACAAGCCCTCCCAGGTCCAGGAAGCCTCCCACCCAGTCCCTTCGCTGCCAGCAAATGATGGGGGCGTGGGAAATGGGGTTGATACAGAGGTTTCAGCCTTCTTTTTGCTTCCAAGTGGGACAGTCTTTTCCAGATGACATTCGTCTTCCTAGTCAGCTTGTTCCAAAGCAACATTAAACTTCTCTACCTACAGGGCTGAACATCAAAATTTGTTTATAAATACAGTTTATGTTGCCAAGATAAATATTTTTAAAAATGTGCCAGACAGAGGCAAATTTCAATGAAGCTAATAAAATTTAAGCACCGGGCCCCTCAACTGCAGGTGCTTTTCTTCAAGGCCCTGGGAGGTGCCTTGTCATTGTGTTCACACGGGCATATGTCTTACGAAAATGGAAAAGGTAAGATATTTTAACTGCGATTGGTTGGGACTGCATCTCTTTCCATCTAACCTGCCCTCTGGTCACACCTGCCCTTGTGCCGGAAGGCACTGAAGTAGTCATGGGTATTTGGGAGGCTGCGCTAGGGGGAAGTCAAACTGGGAGTACATGCAGTTTGGACTGAGTGGAATATGTGTGTGTGGTCTGTAGTCACTTCTGTGTATAGTTAAGTTACTGCTGGTCATCGTATTGATACAGGAAAATGCGGTGACAAAGGATGGCCGTGTCCCAGATCTTGGCTGAGTCCCTGGGATGCGTCTCGCCAAGTGTACATTCTTGGCTGCGCACAGGAAAGGATTCAAGAGTGAGCCGCAGTTGAGTAAAAGCAGATGTATTCAGAGAGATGCACACTCCACAGACAGCGTACGGGCCGTCTCGGAGCGAGCGGCCACGAGGTGCGGTGTTGCTAGTTTTTATGGGCTCGGTAGCTTCACAGGCTAACAAGTGGGAGGATTATTCCAACTACCCAGAAGAGGCTGGGATTCCCAGGAACTGAGCCACTGCCCACTTTTTGACCTTTTATGGTCAGCCCGGAACTGTCATGGCGCCTGTGGGTGTGTCATTTACCACATTAATATATCACAATGAGCGTGTAATGCAGCTCAGGGTCCACTGGAGGTCACATCTCCGGCCATCTTGGGCCTCAAGGTCTACTGAGAGTTGAATTTTCTGCCATCTTGGTGCCAAATGCTGCGTCATTCCTTTAATGGCTATGCCCTGCCCCCTTCCCTCCTGTCTCGTTGTGCAGGAATGACTTCCACCTTCAGTGACAATTTGCTGTTGGTGTGATATGAGGATCCAGGGCCAAAGGTAGTACAGCAGTCAGAGCCAGAAGCCAGGCTTTGGAAAATTCCTGCAACCAGCAGACATGTAACACCGTAAGCAGAGGAGTGTAAGATGGCGCAGCTGCTGTAGAAGACAGTATGGCGGTGCCTCAGACATTAAAAACAGAATGACCGTGTGATCCAGCAGTTCCACTCCTGGGTATACAT